GGTGTCGGGCGGGACGGCCTACCCCAACGGGGCCCGCAACCTGCTTACTTGCCGCGCCTGCACGAGGAGGCGCGAGGCGCGGCGGGAACGTACATTGCTTATCGACGTAGCTGTGTCCACCATGCGGCCACCAGGACGATTCCCAAAACCACCTGCAAACGTGCCGGGAATTAGGAAGTGTCTACAAATCAACTGGCGTGCCATGCTCAGTAGGGGAGAACGGGAGAGGTCCAGCGGCAGTGGCGGTCCTCGCCCCGCAGGATACCATGTGTGCTTCAATCTTGTGCAGGACAAGGGGGTGCTCGGCATGCTGCGCGCGCCTCGCGGGCCCTCGCCTGAACCCAGACACACGCCCCCAAAACAACAACAATGCTCACCATTTCGTGTATGAACTCGGGCACGTCCGTCTTGAACTTGGCGGCCTTGGCGACCTTGGCCTCTAGCTCCTTGCGCTCGACGGCCTCCCGCCGCTCGCGCTCGGCGCGCGCCTCCGCTGCCAGGCGTTCCCGCTCGGCACGCTCTGCTGCCTCGCGCTCCGCCGCGAGCCGCGCCTCCTCGGCGAGGCGCTCCTCCTCCTCACGGCGCCGTAGCTCTGCCAGCTGCAAAGGGCGGACGGAAGGGTCAGTGGGTGGGCGGAGACAGGTGCATGTGACAGGTCCTGGAGACAGAGCTGGGTGACAGGTCCTGGTGACTGAGCTGGGTGACAGGTCTTGGTGACTGGGCTGGGTGACAGGTTCTGGTGACGGGTCTCTGCGACTAGTTTAACGGACAGGTTCACACGAACACGCACACTCTGGGGCCAGGCCGGGGTGCGCCTGGTCTTGGTGGTTCAGGAGGAGGTCGGTTATAATAGTCGACGGCGGACATTGAGGCATGGGCGGCAAAAGACACAAAGGGAGGGCCTTTGGCAGGCCGTCAGCACCTGCACCAGCAGCGTGTCGACGAGCTCCTGCAGCTCGTCCCGGATGTGCTGCACGCTGGGCCGCAGGCTGCGCGGCAGGTTGTGCAGCGCGTCCAGCTGAGCCGTCACCTCCTCCAGCCGCCTCTCCGTGTCCTCGACGGACACCGCCGTCAGCACCTGCGACACGTTAGGCCATGCCACTGCGCGGTTCTACGTCCCCACGCCCAGGCGCCGCGCGCGCCACCACCTACCTCAGGCTCCTCCTCCTCCTCCTTCTCCTCTTCGCGCTCCTGCAGGTCGTCGTCCGGCGTGCGCCTCATGGACGCCTGCGACACTGTGCCGTCGTCCCGCAGCGCCGAGCTCCTGCCGCTCCTGCCCCCGAAGCTCGCGGCGTCCTCCGTCGCCCCCAGGTCGTCCTGGTCCACGAGCTCGCTCGTCATGTCCAGGTCTACGCCGTCCGAGAAGGTCGGCGTTGGCGTCATGGTGGCGCGCGTCGTCATCTCCGAGTCGGGCGTCGGCGTCCGCCCGTCATCGTCCGCAAACGGGTACTCCTGCAAGAAGAGGGTGCTGCAGCGAGGTCGGGTGGCACCGAGCCTCCAGGACTCCATACCCACCTCCCCAGGGTGGTCCTCCGCCCACTTGCGCCGGCGGATTCGCTCGTGGACGAGCTTCTTGAAGGGTGGGTCGGGCGGCCTGGGCCGGGGCTGGCGGGATTGCCGGATGATGGGCCTGTCCGGCGGCAGCAGGAACACGGTGGGGGGTCTGTCCTTGCGCGCGCGCGCCTTCTCCATGCGGGCCAGGGCTTTCTCCTGCATGCGCAGGATGTCGTCCGGGCCCGGCGACCTCGACATCCGCGACCTGGGTGATCTGGGCACAAGAACAGACCGTGTTAGAGCCTCGGTCTCTCGAGCCCGGTCTGGAGTGAAGCGCCTGCGAATGACGAGGTAGGCAGACCCGCAATAACTCCGAGCCGGGCGAGCTGCCTGCACATCCTGGCGCCTCACGGTTGCGGGGGTATTGGGTTGGATCTGTCCTTTTATTTTCTTACCTGATACCGTCTAGTTTGTCAAGCCTTTCTCTCCTCGCCTCTTCGTCCTCATCTTCCTCCTCATCACTGTCCTCTTCTTCTTCCTCTTCGTCCTCTGCATCTTCATCTTCGCCCGCTTCCTCTGCTCCAGCGTCCTGGACGTCACCCTGCGCCTCGCTGTCGGCTGGCGCAGCTTCGGAGGCGTCCTCGACTACGCCGTCCTCTGGTTCGGGGCCACCTTCAGCTCCGGGGCCTTGGTCTTCCGCAGGCTGCTGGTCCACGGGAGCCTCGCTTCCCTCGGGCACGGGGATGGGCTCGTGCGCAAGCGGCGGCTGAGAGCGAGGCCACAAGTCAGGTCAAGCAGTGCGACACACAGGCAGGTTGATGCGAACACCCGGCCACAGCTCACACACACACACCACACACCTGGATGAGGGGGACGCCGTCGACGTCCAACGGTGGCGGCATGACTATGGAACCTCTGCAAAAAACAAAAACAAAAAAAAACAACGCAGTAGTGTCAGCCAAACAGGCAGATGCGTCCTCGACGTCACCCTGCGCCGCGCTGTCGGTTGGCGCAGCTTCGGTCGGCGGGGCACTACGAAAAGCGATATGTCATAGCAGTCATAGTGACCAGAAAGGGTTGAATCAATGAAAATTTACTCCCTGAAGCCAACTAAACATTTGATCAAGAATTTTAATCAAAATAATATGATCAGTCGAACAAAAATATTATCAAGCCGATCACACCTTTCTTTATCAACTTGATTAAATCATGTAATCAACGCGATCAACATTTGTTTAACGAAAGAAAAGTTTTTTTGTCTTTCTTTCATGTTCCGCGGATCAAATGATTTTTTTAAGTGTGTACTTACTTGCTCATTTTTTTGTTTGACCATCGTTTGGAGCCCAAAGAAAGACTCACCTCAGTGCCCGCCAGAACTCCAAAACCTCGCACTCACTTAACCTCAAAAACACAAAATAATGTCGCGGAATGCTACAAGATTCGAGCAAGTGTTCGAGACGACGACGACGACGACGACAACAAGAACCAGATCAACAACAACCATAACCGCCGTTAACGGCTGATAAAAGGTCTCAGCATTTTGACGGTTAGTGTAGCGATTTGACTACGCAAGAGACTGAACGCCGAACGTCCGTTAAACGGCCGGTGTCACCGCGGTTGGTGGTTGGTCCGGGCGTTTTGTTTTCGAGGTTAAATCCGTGGTGCGAAGTTCTGGAAGAATATTTCGTTTTTTTCAATGCAGATACCCACCTGATGACACTGAGGGTGAGGCTGTCCCCCGCCGCCCGCACCGCCTCCTGGGCCTCCCTGTGAGTGGCGCCGCGGACGGGCGCGCCGTTGACGCAGACGACCACGTCGCCCACCTTGAGGTTGGCATGCTCGGCGATGCTGCAGCCCAGGACGCGAGTCACCGTAAGCGGGTGGCTGTAGTCGCGGCCACCCATGAGACGGAAGCCCCAGGGCGCCGGGTCCGCGCGCACCATCCGGATGTCCGCCAGGCCCGAGGGGGCCTCGTCGAGGACCTCGTTGAGGGCCCCATCGCCCTCAGGGACGCCGGGGCTGCCTCCCCCTCCGTCGGTCATGGACTGCGACGGACAACACAAGATATCGGTGAGTAACACAAACTTAAGTAAACAGGGATGTAGGGTGCGCGCCAGGCAGCACGAGATCCGCAGGAGACAGGAGTCAGAATGGTTATCTTACCTTACTGGAAACTTTTCTCCTCGACCGTCCTCCCTTTTTTGCGGTCGAAATTTGTTAAATGATCGAGTAACTAACTACTTTCGCATAATATCGAAAAATAAAAATCGGTTTGAGGTAGATAACGTTGATTCTAGCTAGCTAAGCTAACAGCTAACTATCTGGTCAGAGAGTCTATGATTGCACACTCAACCCACCCCCACCCCTTCCCTGCCACACGCGAAACTACAGCGCAATAACAAAACAAAGCCCCCCCCCGACTACAACTCCCCACATTACTCAATCTGGAATGAAACGTCCTTCCCCCTTAATCTCGGGAAGCACCGCCCCCGGGCCGGGTCGGGCTACACCCTACACCGCGACCCAGAGCACGAGCGAGACGACCCTCTGCACGGCGATGACCAGCACGCGCTCCACCCTGGTCCAGAGGTAGTCGAAGTGCATGTCCATGTCCATCCCTCCAGTGCGGCCGCGGGGCGCGGCGGGCGGGACGCGGCGGGGTTGATCGTCGTCGGCGTGGTCGCGAGGTCAGGGCCGGGGCGCGGGTCAGTTCCGGCGGCGCGGCGGGGCGGTTCGAGGTCGTGTCGCTGGTCGCGTGGCGTCTCGTGTCGTGGGGACGACGGCGTGACGGCGTATGACGACGGGAGGGGAGGGCGGCGCCAGCGTGACGCGCCGTGTCACAACCATCATCGGGGGAGAGGGGAGGCCAGCCAGGGGGTCCAAGTATAACGCGGACACCGCCGTGATGACCACCTTGTTGGCGCCCAGCAACACTTAGGAAACAGAGGAGCAAGGGAGGGGATGGGGAGGTACGCGAATGGACGCCGTGCGGTGGCGGCGGGGAGGCGGGGGTAGTTGGGGTCCGCGAGTGTACGGAAGTGTCAAGGCATCTGGGTGATGTTGGTCGCCATCCACATGCCAGACACGTCGCTGCGGCTGCTGCTGCTGCCCCTGCTGCCACCACCGCCGCCGCCGATGTCGCCAGTCCGCGTCATGGCCGCAGCCCTCCGCCCGCGCCTGGCGCCTCCCTTGGGCAGCCTCCCTCTCGCCCGCTGACTGGACCCCTGGGCCGGCGTGTACGGCTCGTCAACAGACACGGCGACCTTCTCCTGCTCCGCGCGCTCGCGGTACTGAGTGGGCAGGATGAGATGACGGGGTCGCAGTGGGGTTGGATCGACTCCCGCGCGATCGTCGTCGTCGTTGTGCAAGCCGCGGATCCCGCGGGACGGGGTGGGGGGCACGGCACGCCCGCGGCACGTGGCCCGACCGTCCACCTCCAGGAGAGAAGGGCCCGTCTGACGCTTGCCGCCTTAACACACCCGCGTACACAGCTGGTCGCGGCTGGTAACGCTCAGCCGCTCAGCGATACCCGGTGGAGGGCAGATCACCCTCCGCCGTCATCGTCGAGCAGTCACATTTTCACGCCAATTCACGCACTCACGCCAGGCACTCACGCACGCACTCACGCTCGCACGCACCAGAGAGCGGGTGGGAAAGAGCGGCCGACCCGCGGCGATGTTGGGGTGCACACTGCGCGGACCGGGCCGGCTGGGGCGGCCCGTGCCCCCCCCCCTCCCCCTC